CGCCGCCGCCGCCGCCGCCACGGGCCAGCCCCAGCAGATGGCCGGCCACGGCGGCGTCCCGGGGCCCCAGGGACACGCCCAGCACATGGGCGCCGCCGAGTACGGCCTCCCCACCCACCCCATGGCCGAGGCCGACTACCGCCAGGCCCAGAACATGTACCCGGGCCAGGTCCCCGCCGGCGCCCCGGCCGCCTACGGCCAGCCGCAGCAGCCCATGTACGAGGTCGACCCGACCATGTACCAAAACGCCTATGCCATGCAGCCGCAACAGGTGAGTCGGCTATTGTCCGTCCGCTGCATCCCATGGCCATTCTCACTCTCCCTCACTCTGCCCTTCTCTCTCTCCTCTCTCTTGTACCAGCTCACTTCGTTTCTAACCACGCCCATCACCATCCCTCGCGATAGAGCGCCTGATTGTGACATCTGGTGCAGGCCAGTGCATGAGGCGGCACCACCGACTCGTGCGACATCGACAGAAGCCACAGTTTAGGTCCTCTCGTGGCGAAATGTTTCCTACTTCACTTTTTGGCTTGTTTCTGAGCGGGAGGATCTTGTCTGGTACCGGATACAGGCCCATATGTTAGTGCCTAGGTAGCGTCTTGCAAGGAAAGAGGGGATATGGCGACGTCAGAATCTTTCCAGCCAAAAGTTGGCTTTTCTTTCTTGCTTTTTTTTTTGGGCGTAACATGACCATTGGGTTTCGAGTCCGAGCGCGGCCGTTCGCTGTTTCATGGGTTTATGATGAGGGATGGCACATGGGTATACTTGCGGGCAAATGAATTCATGAGATAGTCTCTGGTATCGTATACAACCCTTCTCCCTGGGCATAAATCCTTCCCTTCCACTCGACCTCCCCTCAGCCTGTTTCTATGGGGGGCACTGAGCAAGTATTGGCTCGACGCGGTGCAGTATGCGCTCAGCTAAATCCAAAGCGGGACGAGAAGCCTGCCAGTGCAGGGGTTCCCCTCGGAGTGCTCTCGACCGTATTGGAAAGTCTAGGTAAACGTTAGCATCACAGCCTTTTCCTTCTTGCCACTCCTCGGCAGGACTTACTTCTCCAGCAGCACCGGTCCGTTCATTGCATTGACAAGAGGATACTTCTTGTTCCGCACAGCAACCTCGAAGAACTCGTCGCTGTTGCCCGACTTCATCAAGTCGACCGTCTGTTGGAGCTCGTCGAGCGTTTGCCTGAGCATGAAGGAATTCTCCAGGCTGTCCACAAACTCTGTGAGATACAGCACGTCGGTCGCCATGGCCTGGACGCCGTTGGGGTTGATGCGCTTCACCTCGGGTGCCAGTGGCAGGGACTGTGGAGTCGAACGACATGTCAACACCCAACTTCTCTCGCACCTCAAGAGAGCTGACAAACTTGACTCACTAGTATCTTTTCTACTGCATGACTGAGAGCATCAAAGTAGATGAGCTCCTTGATTTCCCGAGGAAGACCTAGCAAGGTCGAGCTCATGATGTTGGATAGATACCGAGTGAGGGTCTGGATGAAGTTGCTCGGCTCGAGTTGGGGGGTGGTGGCCATCCTACAACAGGGTCAGCAAGCGCGTCCCTCGACGAACCCTCGTTTTTTCTTCCCTTCCGCGGCAACTTACCATTCGTACTCGGCCGTGTCAACGAGGTCATCAATCTTGGAATTGACAAGCTCAAAGATGCGCTTCTCTGCCGTTTTCTTGTTGCTTCGGAACTGATCCGTTGCGCTAAGAGAGACTGGTCCGCCAGCAGAGGTCGAGGAACGCGCTCTGATCAACAGCTGCTCAAGCTCCTGGCAGGCCGTCTCGAAATGCTCTAGGTTGATCAAGATCTGCACAATCTGGCCGAGGTACTGAGAATTCAACCTCTCGACCAATGACTGGCAGACCTTCTCAGTGAGGAGGGAATCCAGGGACTGCGATCATGAATTAGTGAGATTTACGAACCGAGCGCAGTTGTATAGTTAGGCTTCAAACATACCTTTCTGAGTGTCTCGTCGATAATGTTGGGGTGTTGGAAGTGGTCGTCAGAGAAGAAATAAAATTGGTTAAGGAAGTTCCGAATATCTATGCAGCAAAGCGGATACATCTGAGAGAATGGGAGGACGCAAGGGAAGCTGTACATGAGGGGAAAAAAAGAAGGTTAGCACCCGGCTTAGCTATAACTTGCGGTGGATAGATAAAGGTAAATTACTTGCCTCATCTCTTCAGCAGGCTTTTCAGGGGTGAACCAGCTGACGTTGACAACCTTCTCGTATTCTTCCACATTATTGATTGCCATTGGCATGTAGTCGTCCGTGGAGACGATCTAGAACCGGCCCTGATTAGCTGGGGTGTGGCAGGTCCGGACTGGAGGGAGATCACGACACTCACCTCCTGGAAGTCATCACTAAACCGGCGCTTGAGAAGCTCGGCATAGTTGTCAAAGAGAGTCAAGAGGAAGTTGTCCAGCATCGAGACCGAGTACCCCAAGCCCTCCATGGTCTGGATGAATAGAGATATCCGGACCTTCATGTTGAGCAGAACCTCAGCATTGGTCACATCCTTCAGCGCCTTTGTCGTGACGGTCACGGCGGCTCGACACATGGAATCCCACAGCTCGTCGACGTCGGCCGAAGTGCGTAGCTGCGGTGCTCGCTGCACTGTTGCCCTCTCGATGATGGCGAAGCCGGCAATGCCTTCGAGAAGGGCGCTGAGGGTAGGTTCCTCCTCAGACTCGATATTAACGCGGCTCGGAAGAAGAAGATCTTTTTGCTGTCTCCTCGTTGCCGCGTAGTCGGATCGGAACCTTTCGATTTGGGTTAGGGCGTCATGGATGTGGAGCGCCTCGAATAGGGGGGTGAAGTCGACCTGCAGCTCTTCGTTGTCCAGCACGTCAAACTCCTCGGATTCGTCAAAGACCAGCTCAATGGCCGAGTTGAGTTTGAAGCGGCTCAGATAGGCGCTCTTCTCGATGCGTTCGCGATGACGCTCCCGGCGCATCTCTGTGTGCCACATGGCGACTTCGCCGAGATAGGGCGACGTTTCTCTAATGCGGAACAGCCATGTGTTCAGATCCGTCATGACGGCATCCGAGATTGACTTCTGGGATGCCGGGATTGACTTTTGTATCAGGTCGGCCAGCTTGTGCTGGGTTGCGTACTTGTTCTGGATGGTCGGGATGAGGTGCTCATTTTGCAGGTCGTCGAGCGACTTCAGGGCGCCGTAGTACTTCTTCTTCCGGATAAGCTCGAGGGCATTGTTGACGGCGTGTAGGATCTTGAGAGACTCCTTGAGCACCTCGGCGGCGTCGGCAATGTTCTGGCGTACCGCCCTCGTATTGACCAGGCCCTGCTTTTGCTCCGCCAGCTTCTCGGTGCTCGCCTGGATTGACTGGTTAAGTTCCAGGATCTCAGCGGTTAGGGCGACAGTGCCCTCGCGGACCTTCTCTAGCTGGTTGACAGAGCTCAGGAACTCCTCGTGCTTGGTCAGGCCGATAGTCTCGATATCTGCCTCGCGTTCCTCGGCGTACTGCGAGAAGCCCCGGACGAGCGAGTTCATGCGCCCGCTTAGCGAGGCATCCTTGAGCACCGGAATAAGCTCGTCGAGAAAGTCGGTATCGGAGGAGGCAAGGATGATCTTGGCGTTAACTATGTTAGCTGGCGCAAATGACGAGGACAACCGACGGTGTCTGTCCACGGCTGCAGTCGTACCTGGGGTACAGCCGAGCCGTAGTCGTCATAGGTTTGCGGTTTGCGTGGCATCCTGATCTCGTAGACCTAGACGTGCCGAGGAATTGAGGCTGCGAGCCAGGCCGTCGCTGGGAAGATGTACGGGTGACCCTCGATGCGCTCGGGTGCCTCCTCGTTGTGCGCCTACTCGGTAGGGCGGGTGGGCTCGGCCCGTACCCGCGGTCGGTCTGGTCGGGATGTCGTGGCGGGGACCAACTATCTCGGCGCAGGTGGGAAGGTGAGGACAAAGCTACGGCAGACGCTGTGCCTCTCCGAAACCAGCATGCACAAAGCGTGCTGTAGTCATGTGTCGCTCAGAAGTAGATGTCGGAGCCTGCGTCGACAAAGTCCAAGGCTGGCAGCTCTGGTGAGTGGTCGGTGCAAGTGCCAGGGACATCCTGAATGCACTAGGCACGAAATGCGGCTAGGCCGGTTGAGCCGCATCCGACCCACACCTCCCCCAGAAGCCCACCTGTGCCTCCCGCCCTCTAGGATACTTGGCGAGCGCTTGGGCATGGAGTACTTGGAGATTTGCGACCTCTGGGGCTGAGCTGTCATGGTGGGATGCTGGCCATGGAACCTTCTTCACTCATGGACTAGCGCCTTTTGGGATTCACAGGCGAATATGCAGTCTGGACCATTATACAACGAGAGCCATGACATGGGCAGCATGAGAGTGACGGCGGCGGCGCGAGGCCAATGAGACGGCGTGCGCCCGGCGCATACGCCGTCCGATCTGGCCAGCTGCAATGTCGAGATGCAGAGATGGCTTCGCCACCGCTTGGGCGTAAACTGCAGCAGCAACATGACTTGGTGTGGTGTTTGGCGTACTGCCAAGGAAAGTGGGGGGTTCTGTCCTTTATCGGCAATCCACCTGCCCGTTTGGCGCTGCGTGCGTCGGATTGATGTGTATCACATGCCCGTGACCGCCGCCCACCCACCTGTGCCCAGCTATCCCTAGGGGATCTCCTGCACATCGCTGCCACCTCCTCCACATCCTCCGGGTTGCTTCTCTTTGTTGACGAGCAATCTTCCGAGCTTTCCATGCACTGGAGACAAATCCAGAGCGATTCACCAGCAGCCCCAAACAAACGTTCCTCCACTCAAACTTTACCAGCTTGAATCATTTCAGGCCCCAACAGCTATGGATCATGACCTGGTCTTCGTGGACGAATTCGACGCGCTGTAAGAAGTGCTCACAAATGCGGCTGGGCTAGATGGCCTCTGCTTACGCTGCTCTCGACTGCCAGGGCGATTGAAGTGAAAGGCTCGAAATGCGCGCCCGTGCTTCCTGCCGATGAGAAATATCCCGGTATGAGTCTTGGTGACTTGCACGAGCCTCTCTTATGGGCTGTTGTGGTGGATAAGACACCTAGTCGCTGACATACACGCCCTTTCCTCTCTCACCTCCAGCTAAAACACATGCGAGGAAGGTGGCCAAGGAGCTGAATGTCCAAAGTGGCCTTCTCTACCTTCCAGGCCTGCCCACTCAGCATTATGAGGACTCGGACATGGGCCCGGCGTTTCGTCAGCGCCGTTATTTCTTTTACTTGACGGGCTCAACCGTGCCGGACGCAGCTGTGACATATGACATTGCCTCGGACAACCTGATTCTCTGGGTTCCTTATCGCGAGCCGAGGCAGGAGCTCTACTACGGCAAGATCCCCGGCAAAGAGGAATGTCTCGCCAAGTCCGATATCGACGACTGCCGCTATGTTACCTCGGTAGAGCGCTTTATCTCCAAGCATCTCAGCAACACGGGCGCCGTCTTGTATCTTCTGCATGACACGCAAACCCCGCTTCTCGAACACCATCGTGGCAGGATTACGCTCAACACGCAAGCGCTGCTCCCTGCCATGGACAGGGCACGCGTCGTAAAGACACCGTACGAGGTCAGGCAGATCCGGAAAGCTACCGCCGTCTCCTCAGCCGCCCACAAGCTAGTTCTCGCTCGCCTGAGGAACTTCAGGAGCGAAGCGGATGTTGAAGCCACCTACCTTGCGAGCTGCATATCCAACGGCTCTCACCAACAATCATACGCCGTTATTGCCGGGTCTGGCCCAAATGCGGGCACCCTGCACTACGACGCCAACAACGAGTCCCTCGAGGGTCGCCAGGTGATTGTCTTCGACGCCGGCGCCGAGTGGAACTGCTACGCCAGCGACATCACCCGGACCCTCCCCATTGGCGGCTCTTTCACGCCCGAGGCATCTCAAATCTACGCCATCGTTGATGCCATGCAGCGCGCAGCGATCCAAAAGGTCAAGCCGGGCGTCCCGTACCGAGAGCTTCACCTGACAGCCCAGATGGCCGCAGTAACAGGCTTGCTGCGGCTCGGAATATTGAGCGGCGGCAGCGCGCGCGAGATTTTCGCCTCAGGGGTCGTCTCAGCATTGTTCCCGCACGGGTTGGGCCACCACGTCGGACTGGAGGTCCACGACGTCCTGTCGGACCGGCTGATGGGCCACGGGCCGAGCTCCCTGCGCAAGATCGGCAAGAGGACTCTCATTCCCGCCGAGTTTTCCGCGGCCATGATCCGGAACGGGTCGGACGGGAAGCACACGTGGGACGAGGTCGGGAAACTCGCGGAGAACATGATCGTCACCATTGAACCGGGAATGTACGCGAGATAAGGCCTTCCTGAGCTACCTGGCCTAGTTGTGAAGCTGACAATTCATTACGTACCAGTTACTTCAACCGCGAGTACATCAAAGCCTTCGCCGAGGACGAACCAACGCGCGCAAAGTTTATCGACTTTGGTGTGCTAGAGAGATACGTATGTGAAAACCCCGTACCCGAACTCTCGGATGGCACCCCTTCTATAAATGGCAGCGCTAACATGCTACATCTCAGTGGGAGGTTGGGGGTGTGCGCATAGAAGACATGATTCTTGTCAAGAGCGATGGCTACGAGATCATGTCCACCGCGCCCAAGGGCGAAGAGGCGCTACGTATCATTAACAGCCGGTGATGGTGAGGCTTGTTGGATTTATGGAGCGATTTTTATCAGTGCGCACTTTCATTTGGGGCCTGTGAGCAATGGTGAATGTCGTCCAAGTACACGGGACCCCTCGAGTCGAGGCTTGAGCTTGGTATGTTTTGTCTGTTTACCGAAGTGTGGAACGTGTTCTTGGCTGCGAGCATGGATGGCCGTCACATTTCGTAGGAAATCTTGTAATTCATGTACTCTTTTATTTCTAATATTTGTTCTCGATTTTTCCGGTCTATCCTCCCAGCCACTTTTAATGCCCGTGATCCAATTCGCCATGCTAAATCTCGATTCCGTGCCGGCGCAGAAAAGAAGAAGAAGAATAAAGTAGTAGAAGAGGCGGAGGGAACCTAAAGTGGCTGGGTTCACAGGGGTTGCGCCGCCAGGTGAATTCGTCGGCAGATGATTTTGGGATTCTGCGCGACTTGTCCGTGGGGGAAAAAAAAGGGGGGGTATCTCGATTGCCAGAAGTGAAGGTAGAAATAAGTGACGAGAGAACGAAGAGAAGCGAATGGTGAATTGTCGCCAAATGGAAGAAAGTGTCGAGGGGCTATGGAGGGAGGCAGTGAGTGGCCAGGAGGGAGACGACCTCGAGAGTGCACTCAGAGCCGCCGGTACTGCTGCGCGAGGAAGTCGAAGCTGCTCGGGTCCGTTAGGAGAATGTCGTCCATGTCGTCCTGGTGGGGGTGGTGGTGGTGCTGGCGATGGTGCGGCGGCGCCATGTGCGAGGGGGCCATGCCGTACATCTGCGCGGCCAGGTCGTCCAGCGCCGCCGGGCCCCCCATGGCCCCCGGCTGCACCAGATACTGCGGCATTGACCCGATCAGCTGGCCCTCGATCTCGTAGTAGCACATGCCACCGCCGTCCGCCTGTTCCTGCCCCTGCCCCTGCCCCGTCGCGACGTTGCCGCCGCCGCCGCCGCCGGGCACCGAGGCGTCGCGGTGGTGGTGGTGGGCCATGGCGGTCCGCGCCGGGTACGCGAACGGGTCGGTCGTCGGGAACATCATGGCGTCGAGCTTGTACATGTCACCGCTGCTGCTAGTGCTGGCCTGGCGCTGCTGCTGCTGCTGGTTGTGCTGATGCTGCGACACCTGCCCGAAGGCCCCCTGCTCGGGCGGCCTCCTGAACCCGCCCGCGCCCGGGTCCGGGCTCTGGCTGCTCGCCATCAGGACGTCGAGGGGCACCGGATCCCCGAAGCTCGACATGAAGCCGTGCGCGGGCCCGCCGGCCGCCGCCGCCCTGGCATGTTGCACGGCGGCGGCGGTGGCGGCGTCGAGTGGTATGCGGTGCTGCTGCTGCTGCTGCGCCACAGAGGCTGGCCGGCTGCCGGCCGCCGCCGCCGCCGCGCGGGCGCTCTCCTGCGAGCGTCCGCTGTGCGTCCGCACGATGCTCTCGGATCGCTTCTTGTCGCCGCCGCCGCCTCCGCCGGGCTGGTCCTTGATCGAGGACGGCGAGGACGCCGACACGCCGCCGGGGGCCGCGCGCTTCTTGGTCGCCAGCACGTGAGCCCGCGCCTGGTCCCCGGGGTTGCGCAGCCGGTCTGGGAGTTGCTCGAAGAGGGCCTGATTGTGTCATAGAAAATGTTAGCTGTGGCCACGTAAAACAGATACCAGCAGCGGCAGGTTGCGGCCTTACGCTTAGGGCCTCAGTGACCCGGTCGGCCGCCAGGCTCCGGTTGGAGAGGCTTGCGACCAGCTCCTTGCCGGCGTGCGCGTCGGCCAGGATCTCGGCCGTCCCCGGCTTGTCGGGGTTCTCCAGGGCGTAGAACAAGAGCGACAGGATGGCGAAATACTGCGTGTACAATATCACCCAGTAGGGTCCGATGAGGACGCCCTGCCTCTTGATTTCGATCCCAATGTGGATGAGGTTTCGGGAGACGCTGATGCAGGCGGCCGCGCACGCGTAGTACCGCTCGTCGACGTGCTTCCCTGCTGAAAGGCGGGGAGATGCGTAATGGAGAAACGGGCGGTAGAGCATCATCTGCACGTGGGCGTACGAGAAGCGGAGGAGCGAGCGAACTCTGCAAGCCGGAAAGCCTCGTGTCAGCCAATATCCTCCACCTCGAAACAATAACTAACGCCGCGGCACTCACCTGATAACTTCGATCGGCCCCTCGGGGCTGGGACGCCACGCGATGGGCAGCTGCTCGTACCACTGCTGCAGCTCCGCCTCGATGGCCTTGATGGTGGAGTACCGTATCGTGAAGGAGGTGACCTGGTCGCCCTTGCCGCTCTCCTCGACGGCCTTGAGCGGGTAGACCTCCTGGACCACCCTGTCGAGCAGGTCCATGAGGCGGACGTGGGCGTTGGTCGCCTGGAAGAAGGACGGCGTGCCGGGCGGCGGCGGGATTATGGCGTCCTTGGTGATGAACTCGTCATCGACCTCGGTCGGCAGCGGCTGGTCGATGTCCGAGGCCTTCAGCAGCACGGGGAAGCCCATCAGGGCCGACACGTAGATGTCCAGCTGCCTGATGGCGTAGAACACGCGCCGCCTCATCTCGTCCTCGAAGGGGTTGAGCTGGGCGTGCGGCAGGTGGCGGTGAAGGCCCATCCTGACCGCAGACCTCAGGGCGATGCCCAGCAAGGCGTAGCAGCCGCTGATGTTTGACGTCGCCTGGAGGTACAGTATCATAAAATAGAGTGCCTGTAACGACACTAGGTTGTGGCAGTCGGTAATATCTTGGAGAAGAAACCTGGCCAATGTGTAGAACTTGAACCTACAGGGGAGCCACAGGGTTAGTCTCATACGACTGGGCTGTACACGGCTGGTGCGCAGCTGAAATAGCAGGGCCAGAGGTGCGAGAGACACTATAAAAGGAGCACGTACCCCTTTTCCGTTGCCCCTTTGTAATGCGCCTGGTTGTCGGGGTCAATCTCGTCGTCAGTAGGGAAGAAGACGGAGCCTAGGGCCAGCGTAGAATACAACAGCGCAAGGTCCCTGTAGTCCTCGAGGCCCAGGCTTTCCGTGCTCTTTTTGTCATAAAGCCTTTCAAAGGACTCGTAAAAGGTAGGGAGGTGGACTATCCGCAGCAGGCAGGTCGCGCAGTTGAGCGAGAAGTAGCAAAGGCTGCGGGAGACCTCCTTGGGCGGCAGGTCGTAGATGGCGGGCCCCACGCCCTCGCCGGGATCGAACGGCGAGCTCGCCGTGGACTGGGGCGAGTCGAAGGCGAACGGCTGCCTGGGCCGCCTGGGAGGGAAGGGAGGCTTGGCGTCGTTGTGGATGCCCATGTGCGCCTTCAGGCGGCGCATGAAGACGGCCCCGGAGGAAGTGCCGTGGAAGTCGGACTCGCCGTCGGCCAGGTCCAGGTGCCCGATGCTCTCGATCATGGACATGAGCTGGTCCTCCTGGCTCTTGCCGACACCGCCCGTGTCGCCACCTTTCATCCTTGAGGCCTGGGCCCTGGCGCGGTTTGTAAACTCCAGCTGGACGCTCCTGTCGAGGTTGGGGTCGGCCAGGTCCACGTCGGGGATGAACTTGCGCAGCAGCGCCTCGGCCCTCTGTAGACGCTGCTCGAGAGCGTCGACGTACTGCGGGCCGGGGTTTCGTCGTCTGTTGGAGGGCTTGTCGTATGTGCACTCTGTGGTTGGTGTCAGCGGGGAGCCATGGTGGTGCAGGGCGGGCTTCGGGTCAAGGCGCACCATAGGAATAGACGGAGCAGTGCGTGCAAGGCGATCTCCCGTCACATTTTATTTTTTTGCGCCGACACCAAATTCACAACGAACGTTAGCCTTTTTCGCTCGAGCTTCTGAGAGGGAAGACGGGCATGGCGCCGCGCTGACGAGACCTTGACGGTTCCTTTAAACATGGCGGATCCGCGAGAGCAGCAACCTCCCCTCACAGGGCACACACATACCTCATCACACGCGCGCGTCACTCTCCTCCGCTTCTGCACCGGCGCGGATGGCGCCGGGTCTGAGCCGTTCGTCAGCTCGCCGGAGCCGTCAGCCTTGAGGTCGGCCTCGCCCGACTTGACGCTCGCGGCCCCCGACTCGACATCCTGCGAGTCGCGGTGCCAGGACTGCGGGCCGGATTCGTCTCCTGACACGTCCTGCGGCGAGGCGGCATGCGCGGGCTCGTCGGCGGCGGCAGCCGCCACGCTGACCGAGGAGCGTCGCGAGGACATGGAGGGCGGCCGTGCTCCAGAGGGCGACGCGGCGCCGCCCCGAGCTTCGACGGCCGCGTCCATGAGGCGCGGCGGCACCGGCTACAACGGTCCGCCCAGCAGTGCGTCGGGTTCTGGGTGTCGGTCCCCTGGTCGCTAAGTCGATGTCTCCAGAAGGGGCTTAGCGGGGTGCAAGAAGCATGGTCCCAGGTCGCCGGCAAGACAAATTAACGTCTCGCCGAGACTCGGCCTCGTGTGGCGGACTGGAAAACCAGCAGTGGTTCGTGTTGGGGTCCGGCTCCAGCTGTCGGATCCTGGTTGTGTTTCCTGATCCGTCACTCGCTCCTCCTCGCGAATGAGCCTGCCACTCTGCGACCTCCCGCTTCCACAGCAACAAGGCTTAGGCGTGGGTTCGCAATAAAGACGCGCTGAACGGACAGGAACGTTGTTCTGCCACGCCGGTCGATGTCTTGGTGTTATAGATACAAATCGATCGTTACTGGCCCAGACACGCCCACGAATGGCCAACCGCAGGTGGGGGCGGACAGGAGCGAGGAAGCACGGATATCAGTGAGAGGAAAGGGCGGTGTTCTTTGCCAAGTCCTGCTGGCGAGGACAAGAAAGCCAAGGACTGCAATGCGCCGGCGCCCAGCAAAGCCTGGCCCCGTTCGTTTTACACCCCGTTTTTTTTTATTCTTTGCGTCGTCCACCCCTAGCCTTTCATCCTTCTTGTGGTTTTGCCCTTCTGAGACGTCGTCCCAGTGCGTGGGTTGCAGTGCCAAATTCGGTGGAGGGTTGGCAGCCTGGGTCCCAGCACAACGGGTCGAGCGAGACGCGCACCAGAAAGCGCTCGTGCTCTCCCTGCGGTAGGATGTTAGAGGGCCCAGTACGAATCGAGGCAGCAGCACAACCAAAAGACGCGTTGGGCGATGCACTAGGGGAGGGACTAGGTAGTGGACCGTGGTGTAGCAAAGGATGAGTGAGTGAACAAAAATGCGATGAGGTCGACACGTGGAGCGGTTGACAAGCGTTGGGCGTGAGGCTGGGACGGGCAAGAGGGGCGGGTGTTATAGCCAAATAACGATACACACGACGAAAATGGTGACGAAGAATAAAACGTCCAAAGAGACAAGAAGACAGGTTGAGAAGAAGGAACCAGGAGAGAGGTGGAGGGATGAGATAGAGTAGAACCGCCAGCAGAATCAAATAAATAAAATCAGCGATAAATGAATATTTTTTCCAGGAAAAAAAACCCGGGTAGCTTAGAAAAGTACCACCGGCCTTCCAGATAGACGACAACCCCAGACCGTGCGTGTGCAAGTGGGTGTTCAAGGGGATAGGCGCGTCAAATAGGGCGCTACCGTTCTCTGATAACACCGGACAAGACCAGCGTCGGGCCCGTTGCAGCCAGCCAGGCACGCACTGCGTTCGTGTTGCCGGACTAACGACTCTCGTAAGTACCCTCACGAGGCACTGTGCCTCTCGGTGCTAGCCAGGCCTCCACGGCGAAAAGATGGTTGGTAGTCGCGCCGTTGAGACACCTCGACGGATAAAGGGCGTTGCAACAACAAGACCAGAACAGACAGGCAGCAGACGAGTAGAAATGGAGCCCGCGTGGGTGACCCCAGGAGGTTGGTACCCGGTGCAACCTGGGGGGCAAGATATACTACGTAGTATGTAGGCAAGTAGAGGCAGGTACACAGACCTCGGAACAGAATCAAGATCCACACTGAAGCGAAGAGGAAAAAAACAAGAGGAAAAAAGTCGCGGGTATTTTGCTTGTATTCGTGCGGCAAGGGATCAAGTCCCGCTCTCAGCGTTAGAGGGTGGGTCCGAGATGGAGGGTGCACGGTTGGATGGGTGGGTAGGATACTGGAGATGATGATATGTTGCTGATGTCCGCTGGCCCTGAATGATGGGGCCGATGTTAGGAGGGAAGCCCCTATATGCGACAGGGAGGGGAGGCGTCGAGGGTGGGCGTCACGGCGGCGTCAACTCAGACGGGCTGGAAACAGAGAGATGCAATGCAATTAGGGTAGGGCAGCGGCGGTGAGGGGAAGCGGAAGAAGGGGTAGGGGTGTGCCAAACCGTGAAAAAAAAACAGCATTGGATCCTGTTTCCCACACACGATGAACCACATCCAAGTCTGAGCAGCAACAAAAAAGAGAAGCGAAAACAGAAGCACCAAACGAATTACCAAATCCCGGGTGATGGATGACTCGCCAGTGTCTCCAGCGCCCCGCGGCGCCTTCCGTTCTGGCTCGGTGATGCTCGGAGAGTCGCATTGGCGTCGATTACATACAGTAAATAACACAGTACACAACAACCTGGCAGCACTACGCGACTTCCGATACCCAAGTGCAGCTTATTCCCGCGACAAGGGCTGTTGGGCGGCTCCCTGTGGCGGCCAGCCAAACACGACCTCAAGGCTCGAGCTATCGAGGATATTGATTCACGCTAGCCTCCACGCTGACATAGTCCTGTCTGTGTGTTGGGATTCCCGTCCGCGCTGCGGCTAGGGCAGCAGCAAATCTGGCCAGCGCTCTCAATTATCCCTGTCTGGCCTGGACACTGCTGGGCTCTAGCTCGAGCCGGCTTGAGATGCATGGCGGCGATAGGATTAGAAGTGGTATTGATGGGATGAATGGGTATATGTACAAACCAAGACACGGGATGTGACAGACACAGATCGATCGTCTTTCCGCAGAGGCTCCAAACTCTTCGAGCCCAGCTTTTGATGTGCAGCAACTACGATGCGTTCAAGTGCACAAGCGCACCCAGGCGACTGCAATGCGATGCAGACCCATACAACATTGGCCGCCTGCCGCCCAGTCAGCATCGACAGACAGCATTTCCGAGGAGAGCTCCTCGGTAGCGTACCCGGCGCGAGTAAGGCCGCGACCGCAACCGACGATGGCTTTGAGCGCGCGCCGGTCGCGGGAAGGGCCAAGAAACAAGTCGCAAAACAGCGAAGACCATGACACTTTGACGCCAAGGGTGGGGTCAACTCGACGGCTCCTGGAACAGGGGTGGGTGCATGGGACGAATGCGCAGAAGCTAAAGCGGGTCGTCGTAAGCCTTGGCATACGTAATTCTCGACCCCTTGGCTGTTGCGGCTGCCGACCGTGCCTTTTTTTTCCCACTAGTGCTCGACGATGCTCTTTTTAGCACGTCACGACCTCTTCCTAGGCAGTCCCCCTAGCGCCCCCTCCTCCCACCCCATCAGGGCCCCGAAAGGCTCCCCTGCGAGCCTACCGCCCTGTGCGCGTCCCCGTCCCGCACCGCATTGATGCTGGGGAGCCCCTCCACTCCTACAAATGTGCTGCCCGCTGGCGCCCGCCGAGCTGATGAGGACAACGGCCCCAGTCGCCAAGCCTAAAATGTGGAGAAGGCCGCGCGTCCTCGCGGACTTGCATGGCGCCACTGCAACCCCTCCCTCCCTTTCCCTAGAGGGGACGGGAAACCCAATTCGCTGCGCGAGCATGAGACGAAGATCGCAGAGGAGCGCCTGGGGCTCGTGGGCCTCTCAGCCGAGCAATAATAGCACGTAGCACCCGCACTGGCGAACACTTTATACAACACCCAGCATTCCACCGGGACCGCGAGCGCGCGCATTTGGTTGGCCAGGTGGCCAGCGAACACATTGCGGTGAGTCCATGCAACGAACTGCCCCAAAGTTGTGATGATTTTACACCCGCCTGAACCCCACCGTTATCCAACCTCCCAGGGGGGGCACCCCTACCACCGATGCCAGTGTTCCTCCTGCCTGAGGAGGCTGGCCCTACCGGAGGAACGAGCCCGGGCGGCCGACTGGCAGACCGTCCGCCATTGGCTGTCCCCCAAAATTAGATTGACCAGTTTTCATGTCCCCATCTGGAAACGCTCGCTTGCCAACCAACCCACACACCTCGATAACAGTGATTGGGATCTGGCAAATGCGCGTTGACATGCGCTAGGTACAGCGGGCGTACCTGGATTATGTATCTACCAGGACCTCCGTATCGAGAGATTTGTGAATACGCTAGAAAGCTCCATTGTTCGCAAAATGCGAGGCACCCTGTAACCAGGGAGTTTAGGTACAGTCAAATACGATGTTTGTTTGCAAAGAATACGTTCGAACATCCGCTTCGGTACCTGGTGGACAAACTCATCTTTTTTTTTTACGGTCCCTGGACCCACTCAGTGTGCAATTGTGCGTCCCCTAGCTAGATTCAGCTCACGATGACAGCCACACCCCGCCGAGAGCTGCTGAGGCTCAGTGCCCAAGGCAGCTACCCCACCTTGAGCTCCAGCCTCACCAACTACACCCCCGCCAGCACAACAACCATTCATCACCACCAGCCTGCAAGGCTGTGAGAGCCTTACGCTGCATAACTTGACGTCGCCGAAAGCCGGCTGGGCCTCCACTGGTCTGTTCCCATTCGCGCCTGGCATCAGAATTCCACCCTCATTTGGACCTCGTCATCGCGAGTTATTGGACGGTGAACCTTCTCGCTCGTAGGCCCTTTTGCCTTGCTAGGCGTCTCTCTTGGCTCTTTGTTTGTAACCGTCCTATCACCATACGTAGTCTTTCATGTTTAGCATCGGGAGACAGTCACGCCCTCGATAGCTACTTCCGGAACCGAAAATGGCGGCTTCACCGGAGAAGCTTCTACAGTACTTCACCGCCATGGATAACCAAGGCGGGATTGTGGTTAAAGGTGATTACTTGCCCGACGCATTCCCTACCGGAGCTGCCTTTTAGCACACCCAACTAACTGCCACCTCACCACCTCGCACAGATGCCCCCAAGTTCGACCTTGAGACGTACATCGCAAACTACAAAGGTATGGTGTTTCTTGTCACAACCCTGGCGCTTCACGTGATTGGCACTGGACTAACTAGCCCAGGGAGGACGCGCTTCGATCGACTGCTGCTCATCGGCCAGAGTTCCGTCGCGCTCTGTGTGGACGCGCTCAAGGCTGCCCTAGCAGAGGCCAAGAAAGGGAGGGACACCGCGCGGTACCGAGAGGCTGCGGATCTCCTCCGCCAGGCCTCTCCCCGTGAAGCCGAGGCCCTGGTTGATGCTCAGTGGGCCGATGCTACCGAAAAGGCAAACAGAGAAGAAACTCGCCGGCTCGAACAAGAACTCAAGGGCTATAAGAACAACCTTGTGAGGGAGAGTATCCGGGTATGTCTTGCTTCCTCGGCGTGCTCGCCTGCTTCGATGATAACGCCAAAAGTGCTTGAGTACGAGATTCTGATATGATGCGTTATAGATGGGTAACGAGGACTTGGGAAAACACCTGGAGGCTATCGGTGATCTCCTCGGTGCCGCCGAGGCATACTCGAGGATGCGCCCCGACGTCACCACTTCCAAGCAGATTGTAGATGTTGGCAAGCATCTGGTCAACATCGCCCTCCAGAAACGGGACTGGGCTACTCTGATTGCGAACCTCAACAAGATTGCCGCATTGCAGGGCCAGCTCTCGGACGACACAGGGTTGGACACCTACCTGCGCGCTATCAACGGCGTCAGCCTCTTGGGCCAGGCCAAGTTCCGCGAGGCCGCCGAGAGTTTCCTCAAGGCCGATAACCAAGCGCCTTCCGGTCACTACTCCGAGGCGCTCAGTCCCAACGACGTTGCCGTCTACGGCGGTCTTCTGTCACTGGCAACCATGGGCCGGAAGGAGATTCAGGCAAGGGTCTTGGATAACCAGAATTTCCGACCTTTCCTAGAGCTGGAGCCGCACATACGACGAGCCATCACCCTGTTCGTCAACGGCAGGTATTCCGCGTGCCTTGTCATCCTCGAGGGCTACCGCGCCGATTATCTGCTGGACCTCTACCTCCAGAAGCACGTTCCTTACATTTACCTCCAGATTAGGAGCAAGTGCATCTCGCAGTACTTGAACCCCTTCTCATGCGTCACACTGGCGTGTCTGAACGAATCCTTTGCCATCGAAGGAGAGTCGATCGAGGACGAACTCGTCGCTATGATCAGCAATGGCACCTTGAACGCTCGCATCGATACAGTGGACAAGGTGAGGAGTTGCTTATATACCCTACTGCCGGTCGTGTCTTGATTACGGGCGTCTACGTTCTATACGACTAACAAGAATGTGCCTTGAGATGGTGATAACAACAACAGCACGGCCACGAGCTCAGATGCAGGCGGCGGCTATCAACACAGTTCTGGCTTACGAGCGAGAGGCCGCCGAGCGGCTCAGGCGCATGAACCTCATGAGCGCCGACCTCGAGATTAGGAATCAACGAAGGGTCCTCGCTGGGGCGCCTGTGGCTTCCTCCATGGTCACCGTGACAGACGACTGGTACGAGGAAACGCCTCCTATGGCTGCTTGACCCTTCCCGGCTTCTCCAGGCGGCGGCAACGATAGCAAGGAACTCTTGAGCACGACGAGCGAGGGACATTGCGTACGTGTGAAGAGTGTAAACGGCCACTCATATTCTGAGCCTTAGCTATGAGCTGCTCTGCCTGTGTTATTTCCGAAGGAGGAGGGTTTTCAGCAGGAGGGGGTCGGCATAATACACTTTTTCGCTGACCTGAAAATTCTGCTTGCTGCAATCGACATACATGCGGTGTCCATACAATTCGGTACCCAAGGTAACAAGGCAACCCAAATTAGCCCATGAGCTGGTTGAGGTCTTCGGGCGGCCACCTCGTCTGGGCAAACGTCAACATGCGCTTGATGCTCTGCAGGTACTTGCGCGTGACCTCGTCTCCCATGACGTGACCCCTCTCGCCGTTGTGCAGCTTCTCCCGGGCGCTTCGCTCGTGGATGCCCACCATGGTGACGCCGATGGGCCACGCGGCCTTGCCGATGCTGAGGCGGAGGTACCCGTCGTTGGCGTCGACGTAGCGCCTCTCCTGCGCCGCCTTGATAATCTCCACCACCGCCGTCAATATGCTGTCGTCGAGCTCGTGCTTTTCTAGTTTGCGGAAGAGCTGGACGTGAAACAAAAAGTCAGCGGTTTGAAGAGGGATTTTATGCATACATTATCTGTCATGTATCGGAACCGAGGGGGACGGGACTCACCGGCCTCAGCGTGTCGCGGCTCTGCACCATCTTGCTGTACTCCTTGGTGCCGGGCGTGTGCCCCTCCTTCTGCAGCGTCAGCTGCCAGTGCGCCAGCACCATGTTGAAGTAGCTCGTAAGCTGGCGCGCCAGCATCCTCCTCCCCTCCTTGGACCCGGGCACCTTGCCGTCCAGCTTCATCAGCCGCTCCTGGACGGGCGGTAGCGTGGTGGGGATGGGGGCGCCCGAGGCCAGGCGCAGGCGGCGCAGGCGGGCGCGGTGCTGCTCGCCAAAGAGCGCGGCGGGCAGGCCCAGGGCGCGCAGGCGGGCGCGCAGCTCGTCCTCGGGCACGTCCTCGTCCTCGCCCTCGCCTTCGGACCGGTCCTGGCTCCCACCACCGGGGTTGTTTGTAGAGTCGTCGTCGTCGTCCTCGGGGA